ATCATTCAACAGCTTATTATTTAGTCTCCAGGTGTTGGAGTAGCTTCTATTTTTTATTTTATTATTGATTTCTAATTTCAGTCCATTATGGACAGATAGAATGTAGGGTAGTATCTCTATTTTTTTTTTTTTGTATTTGCTAAGACTTGCTTTGTGACATAACATATGGTCTATTTTGAAGAAGGGTCCATGTGCTGCTGAGATGGAATATTCTATATATGTCTATTAAGTCTAAATAATTGATTGTTTTATTGAGTTCCATAATTTCTTTGTTTAGTTTTTGTTTGGAAGATCTATCCAGTAGGAAGAGAGGTAAAAAACAGGACAAGAGGAAAGACAACATTACTCTAAAAAACAAACAAACAAAAAGGTATAGTGGGAAAATAATAGATATGGAAACTAGATGAAAGAGACCCCTGATAGACATAACCTATTTCCCTGAAGAAGAGAAACACACAAATAGAACAGGAAAAAAAATTGCAACAACAGTAATGAAATACCATTAGGACTTTGACTCACGTTGAAAAGGCATAATGAGTATAGGAAAAATGATGCCTAATATTCACTACCAATTAAGGCCTAGAAAGGTAATGAATTTAGAAAATGAAAGAGCACTTATGTATTGTGCTCAGTTAACTGTAACTCTTCCTGAGCTCAAAACATCATTCTTACAAGTCATTCTGTTTTCCCCACAGCAGCCACAATGGCCTCTTAGAAACATAAATCACAATCACAGCCTGTTTAAGGCAATACAGATGTTCCATTGCAAATCTGGCAAAAATTCTTCAAGGGTTTGATATTAGCTGATTTTATCTATGTTTGACCCCTGCCATGATCTCCCTTCTTCTGGCTTAGTATACTCCAGTCACCTTTGGCCTCCTTTCTGTTCCTTAAGCAGCTCAGTACTGATTCTGACTGGGGCCTTTGCATTTTCCTTCTCCTGGAATGTCCTTCTCTCAGACTATCTAACATAGAATTCTTTCTCATTCCTCAGATCTTAACACCCTCCCTGACCATTTATCTAAAGTAGTGTTTCCTCTCATAATTATTTCACTCTGTTCTTTTTAATCTTTTTTTCTTTAAAATAAACATATGAAGGGGACCATTTTAAGTTTTCAATTTTTAATCAATGCATAGGTTGGCAATAATTTGTCAACCTAATCATTTAGATAACGGTGTTTGAATTCATAATGACTAAAAAGGCATTGTAGTTTATTGCAAATAAGATTTTTATTGCATTTTAAAAATGGAAATAGGGCTGGATATGGTGGCTTCATGCCTATTATCCCACAGGCTCAGAGGGTTGAGGCAGGAGGATTGCAAGTTCAAAGCCAGCCTCAGCAACTTAGCAAGGCCTAAGCAACTTAGAAAGACCCTGTCTCAAAATAAAAACTATAAAAAATGTCTGAGGATATAATCCCTGGTACCAAAAAAAAAAAAAAAAAAGAAAAAAGTAGAAATAGGGTTGATATTCTCTCTTAAACAGATAGTAATGGAGATAAGCAATTGCTGTCTGATTTATAATTGACACTCATAGTTACTACACACTGTTCATGAGTGATGGAGAAAGAGAGATTGACTTGAGGAATTGGCTCATGTGATTATTGGGGCTTGAAATTTGCAAGATATCTCAGCAAGCTGGAAATTTCAGCAGGAGTTAATGTTGCAGTATTGAATCCAAAGGCAGTCTTGGAGGCAGAATTCCCTCCTATTCCAGGTACCTCTTTTATCTTAAGGCCTTCAACTATAGATGAAGTTCACCCACATTTCCAGGGTAATTAATCTGCTTTACTCAGTCCTGATTTAAATATCAATCACATCTTAAAAATATCTTCATAGCAACATCTAGATGAGAATTTGACCAAAGACTAGGTATCATAATCTATCCATGTTGACACATCAATTTAACCATCACAGAAGTGCCTATTAGTCTTCAATATTTGCTTTTTAGTTATACAATAGCATATTGTATGCTTCTCTCTTTGCACACTCACTACCTTTATTTCCATGCCCACTAGTTAATCCATACCACTTTCTTCTCCTGCAATCTCATATATACTCCTCTTCTCTTGCCACAGTCTGGCTGGGCACAAAATCACGAGCCACCCACAGCTTTGTAGATTCAAACAGCAATTCTTTATTCCCGAACTCACACCGGCCCTCTACAAACACGTTCTGGGGAAATTCACGTTCTGGGAAAAATCCACGTACTCCACCAGGCTCCGAATCCCAAATACTTTCTGAATCCCAGGAGAACTCAATGGGAACTCAAGGAGCGGGGCGTGCCTGAGGCAGCAGGATACGCCCTATTCCCAGCAGGGTACACCTTAAACCTGGAACCGCCCTAAACCCAAGGAGCGGGATACTCCCTAATCCCAGCAGGATACACCCTAAACCTGGATCCGCCCTGGTCCTTGAGCAAGGTCACCTTACATGCAATGTCACTGCAAATGACCTGAGTCTAAGACAAGCCCATTTCCACAAGGGAGAGTCCTTCCTCTAAGCAGCATGGGGTAGGCTGACAAGAAATTGCCATGCATCACTCCTACTTGGCAATGGCTCTCAGCATTCTCAAAATAAATAACCCAATGCGGTAGGACTGAGAGTTGCCAGACTTTTGAGTAACACACACTGTGAGGACTATTGTTCTCACACACTAATTTTCTCATGTTTGATGATCTGCTTAGATAATTTATGAGTTTTAGGGCGTATATTTTTAAGGTCACTAACATCAAATTTGCTGTAGAGGAATCGGCAACAATTTCCTCACGTCTATCATTCTACTCAGATTAGCTGACAAGAGAAGGCAGGAGCAGAATGCCTAGAGCATGGTGACATCACAGGGCTACACCACAATGGTTCCTATCCCATCTGCCCTGCTCTGTGCTTTATTTGGTCACTACATAAGAGACAATAGAAATGCAATGAATTTTAAAGTAATGAATGTTTTAAGTCACACAGTAGAGCTTCTTCCTGAAATGGGCTGAGGAATCTAGTTTCAAATGGGCAAAAAGGCAGAAAAAATAATTTACTTTGGATTACAATGTCGGCTTTTTAAGGGTAAATTAAAAACATTAAAACATAAGAACAGACAGAAAATTAAACATAATATAAAGTGAGTATTAATCAGTTTTAATATCAATTATATCTCTTTTATCTCCCTATGTGTACATGTAGTTTTGTAACTCCATCACTTAAGTTGTGCTTATTCTCTCATAAGGTATTTCATAAATGCATTCATGCTACTTAATACCACAAAAATAAATGTTGGCAGATGACTGTCTTTCATATGTGTATAGGGGACAGTGGCACATGGTCATTCAAAAGGACATAAAGATTTACTCTTTTGTATTATCTTCTGAACCTCTCTTTGGTCCATATTTGGCTGTGTTGGGTGGGCCTTGTCATTGTTGCCCTTTGTTTTGTCCCTGCCCTGTTGATATGGTGTGTGATGTGTCCTTGAGGCCTTGGCACATGCTGCCATCTCTGGCTTCCTTCCCTCTATTAGCTCATAACCCTTAGCCCTCATTCTGTTGCAAAGAGATTCACCAAAGCAAATGGAACCCAAAGGTCAAAGCTAAAGTGTGCAAAAAAGAGCTCTAAGTTATTAAATTGGTACACTGACAAGAAAATAATCAGGTCAGATGACAGGCAGAGCTGGCCTGTGTTCTTCCTGGAGGTGAAGCTCTACTGCTCTGTAATGCCATTTTTGTGTTTTATAGAGAGTCCACATTCTTGCCAATTCAGATCTTTAGGAAGTTCTTGACTATTGAAGATGACAAGCCAAAATATAAGGATGATTCCTTAGTTCTTCCTTCCATGACAGTTCTCACTACCCAGGCCAGACAGCTTTATATAACTGGAGTTCATACGTGAGAGGGGTAGTGGTTTCAGCTACTGCTCACAGCCTCATGCACATAGTTCCCCATCAGATCTTTACTCAGTGTTGGCTCTTAACTGGAGATGCTTCTTCTACCTTGACTGGCTCAATCTCCTAAAATGAGCTTTCAAACTACAGTCAGTCCTCTGTTACTGTGAGTTCCACATCTGAGGATTTTACCAACCATGCATCCAAAATACTCGGGGGGAAAAATTGTGTCCGTACTGAACATGTACAGTCTTTTTTTTTTTTTGCTTGTCATCACTTCCTAAGCAATACATGAAAATATAACTATTTAAATGGCATTTACATTGTATTTGGTATTGTAAGTAACGTAGAGATGATTTAAAGTATCTAGGAAGCTATACTTAGGTTATTTGAAAATACTTTGCCATTTTATATAAGGGACTTAAGGATAAGCAGATCAGGGTATATTGAGGGAGCAGTGGTATCCTGGAACCAGTTCTCCAAGAATACTGAGGGATAACCATAATCCATTGATTTTCTTTAGTTAACATTTTTTGAACTTTTAAAAAATCTGTGGTGTTGATATCAGAAATAACATTTTAGAATACCTGAGTTTAACATTTTCCTAAAAATTTGAAGAACTTACTGATGAAATGGCATCTACACCTGTGAATGAATTTTGGAAACATCAAAGCCTTATTTAAATAGCACATACTCTCTATACTATGTATATAAGATTGTTAATTATAAGACAACTTTTATGGTTTTGACCCCCCTCTTTTCTTTCCACCCAGTTGCTTCTTTTAATAGCAGACATCTGTTTATGAATTCTCTTCCCTATCTTTTCTTAGTTTTATTCATTATTGGAATGATATATTAACAGTCTAAGCCTCTTAATGGGTATCATTATACATCAATATAAGGAGAGCTGCAATTGCTCACATGGATTAGTTCTTACCTTTAGAAGGTGATGAATTTGAGAAATTAAGAGCTTCCCCAATGTTAACCCACATTTTTTTCTTTTTTTAAATAGTTCATAATAAGTACTAATGATAATAATTTGCTATTACTAAGTCTCATTGCAATGCTTGTTTTCTTATTATTAGCTTTCCTTCATTTTTTTCTAACATTTACTGTGCATACATTTTTGCAGAAGGCTACTGGATACAGAAGATGAGCTCAGTGACATTCAGTCAGACTCAGTCCCATCAGAAGTTCGGGATTGGTTGGCGTCTACTTTTACAAGGAAAATGGGGATGATGAAAAAGAAACATGAGGAAAAACCAAGATTTCGAAGCATTGTGCATGCTGTTCAGGCTGGAATTTTTGTGGAAAGGTAAGCAAAACTATTGGTATCTCAAGAAAATAAAATCTAAAAGGCAGTGAATATGTTCACTGTATCAAAGTTATGAGAGACCTATATTGTATTCATTGAGGAAAACAGTAACCATGACTTGAATGAACAGGTTAGGAATTTTATGATGAATTTGCCTGTAACTAAATATTTTTGCCTTGGATGTATTATTCTTATTTATACTAAATTGACATGAAGACTGAAAGCAAAGCCCTTTAAATTACCATTTTGAAATGTTTTTTTGTGCTTAACTGTTAAAAACTAGTCTAACATATAGCACATTATACAATTGATTTTGTCTGAATAAAATGTAATAGCTCATTTTAAAAATTCTGTATTGGGTAACAACCTACTTACCTATGTCAAGCAGGCCTTTTTCTGCCATAAAAAGAAAAGAACTTCCTCTTCCCATCTTTCCATCATGAGAAGAAAGTTCTCTCGTTTTCACTTTTGACAAGTTTTTCAACACTCCTGTCACTGAAACAAGGTATTCAGTGGCCCCTACACCATGGAGTCAAATCACCAAAGTTTTCATGTGAAACACATCATGTGACCCAGTTTTACATGCTTTTAACTTTTAAGAGCAAGATTTATTTATTTTTTCTAGGAAACAAGATGTTTCAGAAATAAAACTACAAATAGACCCAAAATAAAAATGTCCAACAAAATTGAAAAGTAGTTATCAAAAATCCCTTAGACTAACACATAAATAAATTATACATACAAAAAGATAATTTAATAGTTGAGAAACTAATGAAGTTGAAGAACAAAGATTTTTTGTCAATGTACTTTAAGGGAGAACAAAACATTTTTCTTTTGTTCCTTCTAGATCTCACCTCCAATAAACATTCTAAACTTTAACTTTTCTGTGTTAAAGGAACAAAGGGATTGACATTTGAATTTTAAAAATGTAAATAAGGGTACATACAAGGAGAATACAGTGCAACTTAACCATGTATCATAACAACAGCTATGAAGCTTCTAATATCTCAGAATGTGAATATCACTCAAAATAGCATCCACTGAGTGATTATTCATTATTTTGCAAATTTTTTAACCATACCTAATTAGCTCAGGTAAAGGATCCCTAAAAATATTCTGAATAGTTTGGTAATATAACAACACCCTCTTCAGTGCATAAACTTATTTCAGTTCTTCCAGGTTGGACCAGAAGTATGAGGCAAATAGGCAGGGATGAGGAAAAAGAATGTCTATAACCATATTCCTGTTTTTTCAAAACAACTTATGCATACATGTGAAGGTTATTGATTTCCCAGAGCACCGAATTTAAAAAATCTAAATAGAATTTCAGGAAGTTAATAAGAGTGTCACAGATAAAAGAATATGTTTAATTTACTAAAGAAATATATCTTGTCTTCTTTGCTTAAGAAAAAATTGCAGAAGTTGGCAAACTGTAAATAAATGACAACTGTGGATGAAAACCAACTGAATTTGCATTTCTATTCAAGACAAGATTAAGAAAAACTCAGTAAAATATATTGACATGCTAAATTTCCATTGTGTGTAGTACTTAAAACAAATTTTATTTTATAGCATATGGAAATATCAAAATGTATATATAAGCTCACTAAATCAATAAGCAGCTTGGAAACTAATGAGGAGAGCATTTAGAAATGATATCTTTTAATCACTGCTGAATCCCCATTAGTAACATGTTTATCTTGAATTTTCAAAAATATTTCTCTTTAATCCTAAAAAATTAGCCTCCTTCTTGAAGTTTTGTTGCTTTCTCCTCTAAGGCTTCCCTGCCAAGATTTAATACCTCAGCAAGTCCTGGTAATTCATAAGCTAAATGTGTCCTGATTTCACTACTCACTTCCTCATCTCTACTCTGGCATCTCCAATCCACGCCTCCATAACCTACCATCAGAAACAGGAAGTAGCTTTCTAACTGGGCTTCCCTCTTCCTCTCTTGGGCTCTCCAAACAACTCATCTCACAGTGATGTTATAAAATAAAAATTATCTCTGTCACTCTTAAGGTAGAAATCTTTGGATGATTTCCTAGTTCACTTGGTAATCGGGCCTCACTTAACCAGATACCTCTTTCTTTCTAGCCTCATCTATTGCTGCCCTCATCCTTGTCCGAACATTTCTACCAGCTTTTATTTCAATTCCAAGCACATTCCTAAACTCTTTCCTTCCTTGGAACCATTGTCAATCCTGCTAAAAATGATCCTCCCTGCTATCCTATGGGGCCCATTCTGTCTTTCCAGATTATTCTCTGATCCCTCTGAATTCTAGTCCTCCAGCACTACTCCAACCAGGAATTCACCTCATGGCACCTATTACTGTTTCTAATCATATATTGCTTCTTATTTTTTTGTCTTTCTTCATCACTTATATAAACCTCACAAAAGCAGCAAGAATGTTTCCCTTATTTTCCACTAAATAGTCCACTGTTTAACACAGTGTTTGGCATAAGATAGGGTGTTTTTTTTAAGGTTTTGAATTATATTTTATAATTATTGTAAAAACTTCCAAAATCAATGCATCATATTTTCAATTGGACTTCACCACCTGGAGGATCCCAGGAAATTCATTATTCTTTTTCAGAAACTTGTGATCCCAGGAAATTCATTATTCTTTTTCAGAAACTTGTGATCCCAGGAAATTCATTATCCTTTTTCAGAAACTTGTGATATATCACCTATCTACCAAAGTACAAGGAAACCAGATTAAGGTTCTTCCCACGCTCATTCTGATTCTAGGAGAAATCATCTTAATTTCCATCTGATTTTCTATTTCTCATTTTCTATCATAGAATTCTATTCCTGATTATAGAATTAGAAATGTATGATAAAGAGGAAGTTTGTCTCTTTAGAAGGACAATCTTTCTTTATGTTCCATGTGGTGATAAAGTACATCGATAAGTCTTTTTTATAGTTCATGTGGTGATGAAGTATATTTATACTCATTTCTCAACCTCCTCCCAGTCTGAGAAACTCACTGGCACCAGAGTTCCCAATGAGCCAGGGAGCTCTGAGTAATGTAAAGGTTGGAACCAGAGGGACTGGCAGCAGATTGATGAGAACAGCTATAGTAATAGTAATACAGGCTTTCTTGTATGGAGTCTTTATTTGATTATGAAAGGCATTTATACCCTTTACCCCACACAAAAATCCTTTTGCAAATAAATGGCATTAAATAGCATTCCAAAAGTCTTACCACCAGTCAGCAGCTAACTCCTGATTCAAAGCACATGTTCTCTTTGCGGGGATACTCCTTTCCCTGACATGATTTCACATCACTTAATGTCTTAAAATTTCTTATTCCTGATTGGTTTTTCTATTGAACTTTTCCCTGTTAACCACCTTTTCATTTCTCCAGCACCTGTTTTTTAGAAATACTGACTAGAAAAATAGGTAGAAAAGACTGTTTCCCACAAAAACAAACAAACAAAACACCCACAACCAAGGATCCTTATTAGCAGTAATTATTTTCTAGATCTTTTGTGGTGTGGTTTGTACCTTCTTTGCTCTGGAGGATTAGAATAATTATAGCCATCTCAATGGAGTAATTAATATAAATATTTTTATTTTTAAATTGCTTTTAAATCTTCCAATAGATATAATGGGTAAGACTAATTATTATACCCACACCCAAAATAGTTTACAGTTTTAAAAGTAAAATTGAAACACAAAAACAAAATAATGAGGTACCTCGTCTGAAATAAAATGAGAAGATATTTTTATAAGAAAACAATCTAGGCTAAAGAGACAATTAAACAAAAATATTTTCATTCTGAGTTTCCAAGAAGTCAAGATTTAAAAGAAAAAGATGATAAATTACTTGGATTTTTTCATCTTTTAAAAAAGATGATTTATATATAGAAACTGAGTAACATGTCTTCCAGATTTTTAATATAAAGTTCATTGATTAAAAAGGTTAGTATCTTCTACAGTGGTTTTACAAAAAAATGTATGATGTTTTCCTCAACAACTGTTTCTTAAATTCAGTGTATATGTCACTATATTTAATTGAATTATGGTGGTTGTTCAGGCATTTTGGGGGGAGTGGGGATTTGTAGAGAGCCATGTATCTTTCATGGTCCCAAATGAAAGTCAATTGCTATTTTGACACATTAGGGTATCTTCTTTTTTTGGTGCTGGTAATCAAACCCAGGACCTTGCACACATACATGCTAGGCAAATGCTCTGCCACTGAGCTATATACTTGCAGCTCTGGTTTGTGTCATTTTGGTTGCTTATCAGAAAAGGAAAACTCAAACCAATTACTGGTTAATAAAAACATTCTTGTTATTGATAATATTATGGAAATAGAAAGAATTGGGTTGTCTTTCTGAATCATCTTTCTTTAATATTGGATAAAAATTTGAACAAACTTAAGTAATTTTTGTCAATATAATCTCCTCCAGTGCATCCTTAACAACAACAACAACAAAATAATCCCTGTGTAAATTTTGATGATGAGACCACGGCAAAGGACAGGTAGCTGATTATCAAAGAAAAGGAAATGGGTAGCTAGCACTCCTCATCACCTGGTTGCTAACCATCTTGGGGGGAGAAAGGATCACATTTTCCAACATAAGTAACTGTCCCCTGGATGGCTCTCTTCCTGCCCTTTTGATCACCAGGTAGGCATAGGTGGGATGGGAGGAGGGAGCATGAGCAAAAAGGAAACCTAAAATCTATAAAAGGGGCAGGACACCCCCACTCCCTTGGGCACCAGCTCTGGACCCCTTTTTCTCCAGACAAGTTCCCACCCCCACTCATCTATCCTTTAGAAACAACTTGTTTTCTTGCCGCAGTGTTTCTTGGGTATTTAATCTTCAACACTAGGGGATCGGGGACCCAATCCTAATTTCAAGACTAGTTTCAATGATAGATATTTCCCCCCTTGCAATTTCTATATTGTAAGAAAATAAAAGCAAGAATATATAAAGGAAATATTTTCATGATATTCAGCTTCCATTCTAAAAATTTTGGAATATAAATGCACATAAAATAAGAACCTGTGCTGTTGTGAATGTGGCAGTACGTTAGAAAGCTTAGCTGCACATGCAAACAGTTCATCTTTTAATTACATGAAATTCAAGGGAAGCTATCTTTACATGAAAACTAAAATCACATGAACTTTTACAGGGTAGTTGTGAGTAGACAAAATGCTGTTGACTTCTATTATACTGTAGAAAGATAAATGGTGCCTGTAGTTAACACTGTTGCCACAAAGGGAATATGCAACTAATGATAAGAGGTAAGCAAATTAGGAGTAATCATTTCCATTATATTTAAGGAAGAGATGAAAACTTGAAGCAAGTAAATTTTATACATACATTTATTTTTGTCTTTTTTAGGATGTACAGAAAATCCTATCATATGGTTGGTTTGGCATATCCAGCGGCTGTCATAGTAACATTAAAGGTGAAATAATTTCAATTATTTTCATTTATAAAATACTCATTTAAAAAAAGTCTTATTAAAATGGCTGAGAGAAAAAAAAATGAGAGTAGGCCTTTGCTGCAGTCTGCATGTTGGAATGTAGAAATTATTTTAACCATTTACAAAAGGTAATGTGTTCCAGATCATGACTCCTTGTAGACTTACGTGAGGAATGATTTGCATTAATGAACTGTATCAGTGTACATATATGCATGCGTATGTGCATATGTGTGTGTGGTTTTCTTTTCTTCATGTTTTATTTAATTGGATATTGAATTCCGTTTTGAGATGGCACTAGTATTTGTCAGAATATACATATTTTTTGTTACATATATATATATATATGGAAGCCTTAAATACATTACCAAAAAACCCCCAAAGATGTTTTAGTCAGCTGTGTTTAAAAGATACAGAAGAAAAGTATTTAAAATCTTGGGCCTGAGAAAATGCAAAGTATAAGAGAAAAATTGAGAAAGCAAACAAAAAAAAAATTCTTTTTTCTTGTATCTGGCTTCTCCTGAGAATACCCTGTTCAGAGGTATAATTGCGGTATTGTATGTGTTAGAAATAACTAGAGATGACACTCTGAAAGGAGAAGCTGGCGGCTCACTTGTCTGCGTTTCCTGTGTGTGGGCATGCGTGTGCACATTTGTCACAGATGTTATTTCTACAGAGACATTTTGTAGGATCCTCTGCTGAATTCTTTATTTCTTTCTGTCTCTTAATTTGGTTGGAGAAAGTAACTTTGTCTTCTAAAACTACTCCATGGTACTGTTAACCAAGAATTTATAGCATAATGGCAGCCAGTAAGACCTTGGACTGCTTCATTTCTCACCTATATACTCCTTTCCTATTTTAAATTTGTAGTGCTTATATTTGTATTTTAATTTCCTTGTAAGCATCCTCTTTGTGTTTTCTTCTCTGCTGCATATTAGATTCAAATCATTAATTAAAAAGGTATTCACTTTCCTTGGATGTTTTAAAATAGAATTATGTTCCTGAAACTATAATACAAATATATAACTAAAATGCCACAGTAGAGTATACTAATTATTCCTGTGTTCCGAAGAGATCTTGCTTTCCTGTTATTTTTTCTATCATGTTCAAAAAAAATCCTTATTTTTATTTTATTTCTTTTTAAAAATCTTTGCCTAAAAACCAACTGAAAGTATGTTGGCAAGAGAAGGTATCAGTTTTTCTGAAATGGGAATTTCGTAAAGACTTATGCACTAAGAGGTTGAGGGAAGAACTCTCACCAAGTAAAGAATATTTTAGTTAAATAATTTATTATCATAGAAACCTCCTTGTCTTGTTTGTTCTCAATGTGACAGTGCAGGAGGGAAGCATCTGCAATGGTTTACAAATGCAAATCATCATTGTTTATGAAACTCCTCAAGAAACAGAGCTAACTCTTTATGCAGCAGGAATCCCTGGTTGGAACTCTAATAGCTGCCTTGAAAGAGTCTGAGCTAACTCTTCCTTGTTAGCTTTGGAATTTGATAAAAGATTTCTTGGCCTCCTTTGAGCTTTACTGATGGTAAAAATCCTTCTAACAGAAACTTTAGAGATTTTTAATTTACAAAGAGATAAAGCAAGTGTTTGGGGATCAAACTAGAGCCAAATGGAAAATAAATAACAATGGCAGACAAGAAAACCAAAAGGTATTTCATGGGTGTTTGGTTCCAGGAGATTGAAAGTACCATTTGAGGCTGTTACTGTTATGTTTTCAAAGGAGACCTTTTTTAAAAAGACGGGTGAAATACTTCTTATCAGATTTTCAGTTTAGTTTAAGCATGTTACAGCACCTACAGTTGGCTTCCTTAAGAATGTTAAAATGTTAAATCTATGAAATTCTAAAAAATGCCTACTCAAATGCAAAAATTAATGCATAGCTTAAAGGTTGCCCATTTTTTTTTGTTCAGTACCAAATCTACTGCATATGTGTATATAAACACTGTCCTTTGCTAATAGTTCTGGATCATCTTTTGAACTGAATTTTGTGCTTTAGTTTTTGTTTGTGATTGGTTTTTAGAAAAATATGAGGTAGCTAAAGTGGTTGATTCTTCCCCCGGTCCCCGCTGTTACTGTATTTTTCCCAGTGCACCTGCTTCCCTACAAGCTTGCCTGTTTCCCTACAAATTGCAAGAAATAACACCAATTACTATTCTCCTCCTCAATTAGAGGGCCCACTTCCTTTTCTTACCATCAGTCCCTGGAGGAAAGTATAACTGGGTCAGCTTAAGTCAGAAGGAGTAATAACAAGGTAGTGTACTGTCTACCTCCTGTGGGTATTTGTATCCTGCAAGAGGAGAGAAGGTATCAAAGCTTCCAGCCTAATTACTGTTGCGGGGTGGAGTCCTTCCATGAAACTGAGGCAGCGCAAATTACCTTCTTTAAGCTCCATTTCTTGTGATCAAGTCAGAAAGATTTCAGACATATTGCTCGGAGTAACCGGCATGAGTTTATTAGAAGGGTTGGAAAAGAGGAAGGGGACATTCTCATGGGAGAGAGTGGGTCCTCTCCCAGATAAGAGTAACTGTGTGCCTATCCTGCAGTCTAATTTTATTGGGGATCCCAGAGAAGTTTCCAGAGAGTCATGCCCAGGTTCACCTCTTGAAATTTGACTGACCACAGGATGTCATCAGACCTTTAAGTCCCCACCACTATAAAAACTCTAGGTCACTTTGGCCCATGTTGACCAGATTCTGATTGGATTCTTAAGCACAAAATCTTCCAGATTTTATGGCTATGAGGAATTATCTTTATCTCCCTGAATTCTAGGATCTGGTCTGTGAAAAGGTCACAAAAGTAAGGGTAACTTAAATTCTTCTTATCAACATTATTTTATTATCTCAGGACTGCATTTCTTCTGTAGGTAATAGGTAGTTTGCTGAGGAATGTGACATATCTTGTCCTCTTCAGCCAGGCAGAGCTGTACATAAATTGCTTCTTGGAAAAGAAAGCATGGGGGGTGAGCACAGTGGACCCATTTTATAGAATTATTCCCTTAACCATTCACATCTGTCTGTCCCCTATCATTACTAACTATAATGCTTAAATTCCAAGCAAAGCAGCAGGTGGGTGGGAAGGGGAAAAATTGGGTCTATATTCCCTATATTCTTCAATTGACATCACCCATATCACTAGCAATTCTACTTCAGGACAGGACCCAATCTGGGAAGATGTTTTATGGCAGGTATTTTGGCCTCACATTTTGTGACCCTGTGATATCATACTCTGGTAAAACGCAGTTTGACATGCTGAATTGAAGTATGACCTGCTGCCTAATCTCTCAAATAATTTCCCATGCAAAACCACAAAACTATATGATATTGTCACCTAACATATTTACTCTTATTTTTTTATAGGATGTCGATAAATGGTCTTTTGATGTCTTTGCCCTAAATGAAGCAAGCGGAGAGCATAGCCTGAAGTTTATGATCTATGAACTGTTTACCAGATACGATCTTCTCAACCGCTTCAAGGTCAGAAGTGTGGAAGGAAAGTGAATCAGCTATTTGAATAATAATGAAAATGGAGAACACTGATTTATTAATTCACGTTAGAATGTTTCTAGTTAGCAGGTACAGATCTAAGGTTGAGTTCACCACATGATGAAACCATTCTCTGGCTCACCAACATATCTATATATCTATCTGGGTACCATGAGGCCAGGACTGCCTCTTTCCAACAAGATTCCTTGCTCCACTGACCACTCACAGAACACTCATATGTGGATTGGAAGTTACATCTTAAAGAACTAAGAAAGATCTTCAGTGTTCCTAAAACATAGTAATCCTCTATTATTAGCTTTTCTTACACTGAAATGATGGGCCTTCTAATCCACTTCATTTGGAGCCATCTAAGCAACAGATTAGAGTTAGGACTTCTGAGCAGTCTGCTGTTGCCTTTGACTTTCCTGTAGAAGCATGGCATTGTTGGAGATAGAAAGTGCTGGGAAATTATCTATTTTAATGCCTTTGTATTATAGATTAGAAAACTAGGCCTTACAGATTATAATTGAAAATATTTTCCCTTTTAAAAACAAATTGTTTTCCTTGACTCAGGAAGATATAAAAATGCAAACATTATATGGTGTGGGTTAGACCATGTTTTCATCCATCTGCTTTAAGTACTTAGGGGTTACAATATTTCTCAGGATTGAAAACTAACATGTTAACTGTGTGTGTTTTTTTTTATAATAATCCAGATTCAACTTAAAGAAATTACTGCCCACATCTGACTCACTGTGTTTATCCCAAACTCTGTGCTCAAGTTGATATAGTGCCACTCTTGAGGCCAAAATATAACCATATTTATCACTTTCCACAGATTCCTGTTTCTTGCCTAATTGCTTTTGCAGAAGCTTTAGAAGTTGGTTACAGCAAATACAAAAATCCTTATCACAATTTGGTACATGCAGCTGATGTCACTCAAACTGTGCATTACATAATGCTTCATACAGGTATCATGGTAAGAATGCTTTTATAATAACTTTGTTAGTTTGGAGACATTATATTCCACTACTGAGAATTTCTCTTGTTTCTTTAATGCCATAGAAGTTTTATTAAAAGTAATAATCTTTTAGAATTTTGAGGTTGAGTTATTTTTCAAAAAATATTTTAACTCAATGAAAACAAGACATCTAGAGGTAAATAAAAATATAATGACTTTCCAAAATTTAGACTAGAGAACATTTTTGTGAGAACATCTTCAGAGTAAAAGAGAACTTTTCCCACATTGTCTCATTTTCTCAGAAACTAACATTTGGAGTTTTTTTCTGTTACATTGCTAATCACATTCAAATATTCAGAAGGATTTGGGGAAATTATTCATGTAAATTTTTCCAAATGCCCTTTCTTCTTTGCATTTTGATGAATCAATGGGATAAGTGAAGAAATGATTCAGCAATGCAAATCATAGGATATCAATGAGTATAAGTCAGGAAGTCTGATACTGCTTAGAATTTCTGTAATGTCTTAGAGTTGAAGATGACTCCCAGAAAGTGAAAAGTGAGAAATAGGACTTCTGAAGGTGCCAAATTGAGATGAATTCAACAGGATGTGGGTCATGTGAGTATAATGGGGATTTAGAGATGCTGCTTTTGCTAAAAACACTGACTCTTCATTTGAGCCTGCTGATGCCCAGTGGGTCACTAAAAGCAGGATAAAACTTGGCATCTCTGCCTTTGTTATTACCTTAAATCTTGGTTCATATCCCTGCTGATTCTACTCATAGGCATGTTAATCATTTAAGTAATACAATACAGGGTTTATTAGCCCTAAACTTACCTAATGTACCTTATCCCCCTTCAAGACTGAAGACATCAAAATAAGATAACTTGGATATTTTCAAGATTTTCAAGGACATTCAACTGCTTGGAGTGCTTCCTAGAAATCTCTAGTCATTACCCTAAATCTGCAGTCTCTTAGACTCTAGAAACAGCAAAACATCACAGATCACCCCACGATCAGATTGCCCAACTAAGTGGGATCAATTGCCCTATTATAGGAATCGAGGCTACCCCACTAAAGTAGGAACAATTATCTCATGGAAACCAGATTGCCCCTTAAAAGAATAAAGCCTTCTCCACAGCAACCGCACAGAACTAATCTTGAGATAATGATCAATTAGACCATGGCCTGAACAGGATGATATACTCTGTCAGTTTTACAAAGCCTCAGCCATACAAGCTCCCCCCATTCCTTAGCTTTGTTCCCCTTTCCTATGAACTTCAAAGTTTCTGTCAGACCCTGGAACAGATATTTGATCATTGTATCTGTTCTTCCCATTGTGGCATGCTGATTAGAATGTTTTTCCTGTCCTTTACCTTTATCATCTGATTAGCATATTAGGATGAGTGACTAAGCTTAGTCTCATATTGGTATTACCAGAGCTGGGGCCTTTCCCCAAGGACTTTGTTAACATGAAGACACCAATCAATGCCTTCTTGATTTCTCATGAGCCAATACAGGCTAAAATGGTACCATAAAATTCCCACAAATAAATTATTTTACCAAATCCCATAATATGCATCACCTGTCTGTTTAGAAATCAGAAGCTAAACTATTTATATTATCAGCAACAGTAATTGGTATTTGGTTCTATGAGACTTGGGCTTTTTGGGGCCCAGAGAACCTCAATAACCTCATCACTCTGTATCATAGACTATATCCTAACTTGATCTCAAGCAAATTCTCTGGGGCTTTAGCAGAGACTCCTAAAGAGCTTGAAAACTTATAACTTGTGCAGGATTCTCTAAACTTTAGCATATGCAGAAAATTTACATCATTATGGCATTCCCCTGTCCCAAGAAACCAGCTATGATGTTTACTACACATAACAATCTATTTACTAGGATTCCTCCACAGTGTCTTATATGGTAATCAAAGAAATTGTTTCTCATTTTCTTTGCCTCTTAAATGGTGTAGATCCTTTAATGTCTTGGGCTGAAATCCCACTCCTGCCCCATGTTCCAATATATCTACTGCTAAAAAAAAAGCAAAAAACCACCAATAACATAAAAACCACTCCAAATCATAATGATTTAAAAAATAATTTGTTATTGTCTCTTAAAGCTCTGTGGTTAAAAGATTTCCAACTAGGAGACTCTCACTGGGTGTCCTTCATGTGATTATGGCCAGCTAGCAACTGTAGCTAGAGACATCTGAAACCAACACTGGGCATGGCTTCCAGGATGGCTCAGTTACAGGACGGGTAGTTTGTATGGCTATTGGCTGGGAGCTCAGCTGGGAATTAAAGGGATTTTTTGGAATTTTACCACAATTTCATTCAAATTTATATTCTGTGACAAATTTATCTTTTTAAAAGTAGTATATTTGAATTGCTTTATGGTTCTCTTTCTACTGTGCATGCATGTGCATGCTAGAAATTCTTTTAAAACTTTTTGGCTTTGAAAAAGTTAACTGAAAAATGACTCATTAAATGTCACTCAAAAATGTAAAATGAACTGATTGGATTTCCTCAGAACAAGATGGTCTGAGAAAACAATGCCTACATCAGTAAATAAACTGTACGCTTAATTATAAAGTGAAATTAGAAAATGCATGCCGTTTAGGGCTGGGAGGTAACTAGAATTTCATCATCTTAAAATATGTTTCTTCCCAAGAACATTTTGTTTTGTTTTGCTTGCCACAAGTGTGAAGGGAGCTAAATGAAAGTCTAATTTAACTTTAGAATCTCTGGTCTGAAAGTGACATTGGAAAGACAGGGGGAAGAGATGTCATATTAATGGGTAAATAGAGAAATTTAAGTCCACAATGTGACTTCACCCTCAGATTTACAAGGAAGACTTGCTGCAGGACATAATAAGCCATTCCATCTTCTCTGGAAGGCTGAGGAATCCGGCCCAGTCCTGGCATCACACCGAGAGAGCTGCAGTCATTAGTATAGACCACATAGACCCTTTCTGAGAAGGCCTCAGCTTATCAAACAGAAATGTAACTTCACCTGCTTTAGCAGGATTAGCATAGAAACCCGTTCCTAATTTTATTCATCCTTTAGCAAAAAAGGATCAGTGGGCTTTTTACATGCCCATTAGTCTGCCCATTGCAGAAATAGTCTGCTGGTAGACCTTTAGTGTTTCCCAGGATCAGGAAAGTGCATTTAAACTACAAAGAATGATGAGAAATTTCACAATAGGTGGTGAAAGGGAAGGCAGAATGAATTCACAAATGTGTTGACTATTTTGTCAAAACCAGGTTTCACTGCCAGCTTGACAGTTTTGGGAAAGTTATTCTAGTAAGCTTTTCTCTAGTTGAAAAGATGGTAGGTAGTCAGTGAATATTAATTTTCTTACATGTGAACGTGTTCGTTATTTGAAATGACAAAGCATTTCAGAAATATTCTTTCAAATAAAACTCTTCAGTCGTTTCTCACCACCTGGATTTGGTGAGAAGACTGGGTCACTCTAGTGTTTTAGTTCATGTCCTACTATTTCAGGACAGCCCTATCAGTGTAGCATATATGGAGCACTCCAGTAACAGCCTGACACTGTCAGTTGACTAATGCATATTATCATCTGCAAGGTATTCCAAGGACTGAAGAATGGTGCCTGGAAAGGATTATGAGGAAGTCATTGTCTTCCTGGTTTGTTAAAAGCATAAGGACACCCTGGAGCCTAAGAGCTGACAGTATAGGGGAAGCTTGACATTAGTACAACCACTTTCCTCCTTTTCTCTCCTTTTGTCATATGAATAACTTGTAGCCCTGAGCCACAGTGACAGTGATGTGCAAAAACACAATCCATTTGCTAAAGAGCTAATGGTTTATGGAGTGCTGCCAAGCTACCTCTAGCTGTCTCTTTAAATATGAAATCATCCAAGGACCTTGGCCAGGGAACACTTGCATTTGAAGGCTCTTGGTACTTTGCTCTAATACTCAGAAGAAAGAGAGATGACTTGAAATCTATTTCTTTTAGAACGTGTATTCCATTGATTATGCCCCAAAGCAGTCTCCCATACTTTGGAATGACTCAATTTTTCTCTGATCAGTCTACAGAAAATGTGGTGCTATGTCCCTACTGTGCAAAGTTTGTAGAAATTCTCTCCTTCTACATGGCTTCCCATATAACAGTTTGGTAGAGTGGAAAGGGTGTGGGGTGGGCTTGGGAGGCAGCCAGACAGATTTGAAAGCATGCTCTGCCACTTCCTAACCGGCTAGCTCTCTACTTGGTTCCCTTATCACTAAAATGTAGATACTGATCACCATATAGGAAGAGTCACTACATCTTATTTGTAAAGCACTTAACCTAGAGTCAGAAACAAATAGCTATCAACACATACCCTTATATTATTATTTCAATATACTAGTTTGCTGGTAAATGACAATTAACTACCTTAGGCTAGTCAAAGGGATAGGAAAAAAGGTGTCTATCCCCATAACTTCAGGCCAAAAGAATTGCTATTTTTTCTTTTAAGACATAGTAGAAACTAGGAAATCAATGTGATCCTCTGACCTGAAATTCTCCCCACCCTGTATAAACACAGGGATACTGTTCTATCACACACACATACAAAGTAATTCAGGTACGAAAATTATAAGTCTTAAAGCCTAATTAGCTTTTGCCCATTAATGTATTGTTAAATTAGTTAAAAAATCTGCTTTTGAAACCTCAAAAGCATGTGTTCAGTATGCTGCCTCCTTCAGGAGAGCATGCTATTGTGATTGACAGAAGGAGCAGAAACACTGGAGTCGATGTTAGTTTGAACTTCTGTTCTTTCACTAAATGTCTACGTGAGCTTTGGCTGCATGGATATCAATCCAGTTCCTTAGGATTCAGTTTTGTGGAGTGCAATGTAAGGATAAAAATATTTACCTAGCAAATGGTAAATAGGAGGTTTACAAGAATTAAATTATAACATCTTAAGTATCTGTTAAGTTGGTTCCCACCTTTTCTGTCATCATTACTTACACACCTAGTGACAGTCAGTTCCTCCTTGTGATATAATTTGAGGATATAGGATTAGTCTATCTGAGCATTTCTCCAGCAAAATGCAACCTTGACACTGTAATAGGACAATGTCTCTCTCTATTACTCAAGGCTCATCATTTTGACCCCTTGTTTCTGTCCACTAGGAACCAAAAGAACCTGGATTTTATATGGACCACTGTTCTAGATGGGAAGAGTGGTATGATTCACGCTTTCTAGACTGTGAATTATTTACAAAAATCTATGAATCTAACCACCTATTTTTTGAGTTACAATGTCATCGGACATCAGCATAAAATAAATGAACAGCTAAGGAGTTAATAATCAGTCCAAAATTCTACTTTTACTGAAAACTAAAAGATGTGATTCTCAATTAAGTGTAAAAGTTCAATGTTTATCTTCTTCCAAATTATTTTACACTAGAAACTTAATTATCAAGGTCACAGTATATCAGTAAATAAATGGATTCAGGGAGGATGTTCTATTTTTGGAAGGCAGCAATTAATTAGAAAAAAACAGGAAATACATTTATAATCAATTTTGACAGCTAGAAAGATAATAATTTTAAATACTTATGAGATAATCTATAATTAAATTCCATCTCTGATTATCTAATTTCTTTACTTTTGCAACTTCACATTCAATATTATCTTAGTGAATAGTGGATGTTGCTTTCTTTTAAACCACAGTTTAATCTATAAATTCATAAATGTAACTAGTAAGACATACTTTAAGAAAATAGGTATTTTTTTCCAGGAAACAATTTTCTTTAATAAAACAATAGGTTTTGGGGGTATAAAATCTGGTTTAATTCAATTTCTATTCATTTCATGGTGTTTAGTTCCACAGTCTCAATGGGAATATTGGAGGCTCAATCCCAGTTCAGCCTATAACACAGGCCATTAATAAGGTCACTTTCTTCCTCTTAATGACACAATTAAATGCATCTATAAACACAGAACAGTTAGTTATAAAAACTCCCTTTGGTTAAGAAAATCATTTCTGCTTTAGTCTTCCAACTGTGAGGCATTTATACTTGAATTGCAATCAGTTAAGATATGTTAGCTGTTATTTTCTAGATTTAATGCCTTAAACAATTTACTTAAAGTAGCAAGTTTTGTAAAATGTCATCTATTCTGTATTTTACTACATGGCAAGGCTCATGATAGGCACACTGCATACAATAACTCTAAACTTCCCTCAAAAACCTCACAGAAAAATGGGAACTGTAGCTGAGAGGGTAAATAACTTATTTTCCTGAGGATCAACAGAAATTTGAAACCAGAATTGTCTGAATGCATAGTCTTTTTCTGCTAATCTTGACTACCTTCTTCTTATGCAAAACTAGTGACATTCTGTTTGACAAGCTGATATTGAGTTCCTGTTATGTACCAAATGCCCTGAGAGGTCCTGTGAAGGAAAAAAAAAGATTAGTAAGACCATGCCTTTGCCAACTCTGAAAACAGTTGTCACTTGGTTCATTTTTGACTCATGACCTTCAACATCTGCCTCTTCCTTTTTATACAAAATCCAAATCCATCAGTTCTAATCGAGGAGGCCATCCATTTTTTCATAATTTCTATCCTCTTTTCCACCTCACTTTTTAATTGATTCTTAAGCACAATTGTACCATCGGTGATTGTACTTTAATACAGGGCTCTAAAGTATCATTCTACACTTGTGCTTTCCACGTAAAATCCCCCTTCCCCCAACCCTGCACTTAACTACCAACTTTTGTCCATCTTCTTCCCAAATCCTCCATTCCTGCCATGAAGTACCATCTACTTGCAGCACTAATACAACTTTCTGTGACGGTGGAAATACTTTGTACCTATGTGTTCTATTTGAAGGCAACCAACCGTCACATATGAGCAGTGAGCATGTGAAATGTGCCTACTACAACTAGGAGAATGAATTTAATTTTACTGTCTTTCATTTATTTTTAATTAAATTGTCACATGTGATTACCATGTTGGAAAGTAGAGTAAAAGTACTATGCAGAATGGGAGTGACGAATAAACTAATTGTTGCTAAATAAACTTTAATAGTACAGAAACTTTGTTTGGCTTTCCAGTCTGTAACAGAAAGATCAATCCTGGATTTTAAGTGAGAGCAATTTTCTTTCCTTTATTGCTATTAAGTTTTATTACACAGTCATGTATGTGTTATGTATAGAAAATTTGGTAAATTCTTATAAACTCTTCTAAATCTTTAAATATAAAAATGAAGTTCAGTTTCTCTCATGAGCAAAGTAAATATCTTCAGCTTTTAGATGGACCTTTTTATTATAATGGAGTCTTTTAAAATAAACTTTAATTATGTATAAACTATATGGTAAAAATCACTAGTCTGATGGTGGTCTCTGAGGGCTCTTTTATAAACATACTAATTTTAATCATGAGGGCTTTATTCCTTTGACCTAAATTAGCTCTCAAAATCCCTACCGCCTACTAACATCTCCCTGGGGGTTAGAATTTCAACATATGATTTTGGGATCAGTACACAAACATTTAGGGCATAATGTCGAGTTAAGAGAGAAATAAAATATTTCTTTTATCATGGTCTTTATACTTTCTTTCCTAACCAGATGTCCTTTAATCTTGTTAACTAGCTGCCTGATTCCCTGAATATCACTTGAACTTTGTTATCTGCTGTTTAGATCTTGCTGAAGCAAAGCTTGCTAGTTGTTGGCTTCATGTGTAAGTCTAGAAACATTGCTTCATGCTCCTCTAGTTTTGACTGTATTCACACCTCCATTGTTCTTACGTGGCCATTCCAGTTTAATTAGTGGCCATAACCTTGGGTATCGATATTTGAAATATGGCATCTCAGATGCCAGATGGTGTCTACTCAGGATCCTGTTTGTGCATGTCAGCTCTATGAAGACTTTTGTTATAGAAGATGATGCTTGTACATGCACCTTTGTGGGCATTTTCTCTAGTGGTAAACAACGAAAAATCTGTTCCTCATATTTTTGTTTTATTTGTTTATTTGTTTGTTTTTAGTTAATGATTCCCAACTGGAATTAAAGGTATATTTGAAAAAAAATCACTAGTCTGTAATTGATTTCATAAATACCTAAACTGGTAAAGCTGTGAAATCAAAGTCCAGTCAGTCTTTTAAATCATAGAATACTATTTTTTTCCAGTTAGCAAAGACAATTATATTTTGAATTTTAAGGTTTGAACTTATAAGCCATGAAACAATCATTGATCTCATGAAGGGTTCATTATACACAGTAAATGGAGGGGAAAATGGAAGAACAATTCATTTAAAAGAAATGTAATATAATTTTATATGATTCATGTACTGTGTGCACTGAAAATTTTTTTCACACAACGAAAAGATGGCTTCTTCTTTATAAATATGATGAAACTTTTCTTTAACTTACTAGCACTGGCTCACTGAACTGGAAATTTTAGCGATGGTTTTTGCTGCTGCCATTCATGATTACGAGCATACAGGGACCACAAACAACTTTCATATTCAGACAAGGTAAGTTCGATAAAGTATTAACTTTTATAAGTTAAAGTTTAAAATTTACTTTCTGTGTATTATTGATTTTTAAAAGAATTTGTTAAAAATAAAGATTCTAAAAAGAATAGGTATAATGGATTTTACCAAAATTTCTTAAGCTATGGCCATTAAAATAAAACAACTACTATAGTTCAAGAATCTCATGTATATTTTATGACATATTTAACAACTTAAAATATGTAAGAAAATTTCTCTCTTCCCAAAACTTATACTGTAAACCGTTATACGTCTATTCACTGAGACAAATCTGTGACATATTGTTGAAGGTATTAGTTTGGTGTAATTATGTACTTGAAAGTAGTAATTTGCACTTCTGAAAACATTCAGAGAAGAAAGAAATTCCTTTTCCAGGCCAGTGTTGAGTCTAAATATAAAATAATTGAAAAATTAAATTATTTAATAATAGTTACAATGGATGTTATTTGAATCAAAATACTAGAGATGAGTATTAGTCTGCTAGAGTTGCCATGACGAAATATGACAGACTGAATGGTTTAAACAATGTGGGTTTATTTCCTCACAGTTTTAGAGGCTGGGAGTCCAAGGACAAATGTCAACAGGTTTAGTTTCTTCTAAGTCCTATCTTTCAAAGGAAACAGAGGACTTGCAGACACCTACCTTCTTGCTGTGTCCTCATCTGATCTTTTTTTAATTAAAAGTATTCCTTGGTATCTCTTTCTTTTCTCATAAGGATATTAGTCATATTTTATTTTGTTAGCACCTTTATATTACCTACTCCTTTTAACTTGAATTACATCCTTGAAGGCTCAATCTCCAAATATAGTCCCGTCCAGGTTTAGGACTTTAACATTCAAATGTAGAGGAAAACACAATTCAGTCTATAAGAAGAGATACCCTAAGCTCTTTTAAGTTAGGCACCTTAGTGCCTACAAGTTAGAAAGTAGTCCAGGACCCATCAGGACCAATTCACTTTATATATGTGGTATTCTGATTCTTCCCAAATCTTCCACTAGTCAAAGATGCCTAACAAGGAAGTGTAAGCTAAGAAACTGATAAGTCTCTAGAGCCATCATAGAACTATGTTCTCATCAAGGGAAAAGTAAATTTGGTTACTTTTTGTTTATTTGTTTCATTTTAATGACTTTATATCTTAGAGAAGTTATGGGTTTATAGAAAAATTCAGCAGAAAGCAGAGTTCCCATATACTCCCCTACAGCTTCCCCCTGTTATTAACATTAGGGCATCAGTGTGGTACATTTGTTACAATTGATGAACTGATATTGATACATTAGGATTACCTAAAGTCCATAGTTTGATTGGGGTTCTGACTTCCTTTTTATAGATTCTGTGAGTTTTGAAAAATATGTAACGCCATGTGGCTACCTTTGTAGTATCCTACTGGTTTCACTGCCCTAAAAGTCCCCTGTGCTTCAGTATTCATTCCTCCTTTGCTCACCTTTTGTCTCTGAAAGCCACTGATCTTTATAATGTTGTATTAGTTTTCTAGATAGTGTTCTGTACAGTATCTCTTTTTCCACTGTGTCATGTAGTTGAGGTTTCTTTCATTTAACAATATATGTTGAAGGTTCCTTCGTGTTGTCTAATGGTTTCATGACCCATTATTTTCATCATTGAGTAATATTCCATTGTATGGAGGTATCACAGTTTATCTATTCATCCACTGAAATAAATCTTGGTTATTTCCAAATTCTGAACCTCAGAATAAAGCTGCTTTAAGCATATATGTGCAAGTTTTTATGTGGTTGGTTCATTTGGGGTTTTAACAGAAATATTTTTAGCAACTGATTTTCTGGATATGAAGTGTTATTGTTTTGATGTGGAGAATATATATAGAAATAGCTCATTAAGATATTAGACATTTTAGAATTTAAAAGTACCTAAGGTGATTGAGATTCATGTTTTAGATCACCTAGTCTAAGCCTCACAATATAAGAAGAAAAGTCAAAGATTTCTAGTGGTACAGTATCCTATCCAAATGCACCCAGTCAGGGGACAACAGTGCCAGGATATGAAGCTGAGAAGAGTGACACACTCTCAATCCAGTTACGGACACAATCTTCTCTCACAGCCAGAGAAAGATACATGGTAGATCTAATCTTTTATAGCCTGTAATGAGAGGTGTTTGTATTCCATGGCCTATGGATGGAGACAGAGAAAGGACTGAAATTCAAACAGGGACGTATTGAGGAAGGCATTCTGTCGCACTCCTGGAATAGAGAAAATTCAAATTCCCCAGAATGACATAGAATGAAAGGAAAAGGAAAACTTTGGAATCTGGTTGTACAGTAGGAAAGTTACTGATCTATGTATATTTGCAAAGTATAATGTTAATCATCAAAGAGAGAGAAGATTATACATATTGTTTTTGCTTATCCAAGTCTCTACATTCATGGAATCCTTAACAAGGAGAATTTCAAGTAAAGTAGATAGATCATTACTGAGCTCAGCTCTATACAGGACAGTAGTTTTTAGGGTCTTGAGAAGGGATCAAGTGATTTTACCAATGAGTACTTCTTGTCTTCTATTTTGAAAAGTGAAGGCAATGGCTTTTCCTAGCCACAGTGCTAGGTCTCCCCAGGTAGCTGTAACTGGATGAAAAGTCCTGATTATCTCCTGCTTTGGACTGTGGAGGAAAAGAAAGGGGAGGAAAAGGAGAATGGAGGAAGATGAAGACAAGGAGGGGCAGGAGGAGGAAGGGAAGAAGAAGAATCAATCTTTTCCAATTTTATATTAAGAAACTGCATAAAATGGGGGGAGCCTTATATTTTACTTACTTTTTAAAAATAAATTGTCTAACAGGGCCAATTATTTAATAGATTATATGTACTTGAAGATTTCATGAGTAAAAAATGTTGTAATGAACAAAATGCAGCAGTATAATGTGCTTTTTCACTGTTGCTATTGCCTTCACACTTTGTCAAAGGATGTATAAGGTCATATGTCACTCTTAGCAAAAATTCTATTGTATTTTATAGTATTCATTTTGCTTGGATTTAGAATGTTTTCCTAATATTGAAGTTCATTTACCATATAAGACAAGATAACTGAAAAGTAATTTAAAACATCAAGCCAGGTGAGATTTGAGTTCAATACAGATAGTATAATGCATGAAATCCTTGAAAGTGTAAATAAATGGAAATAATTTCCTCTTCATGAACAGAAAATGTGGAGCTACATGTTACCATGGATACTGAATGTTGCTTATAGTCTTGTTCTTTTCTTAGCAGCTAAAGACCATCTCAAATATTAAGACCATGTTGTATTCTCAGCATTCTTGTTGAATTTATGAGACAAAATCTTGCACACTTTTTACAATTAAATCTGGTTCAAAACCAGTATCTTTCCTTATTTCTGAATGGGAGAGACATGTGATGCTTTGAGCCATATTAAACCATAACCCTGACAAGGTTGCTATAGCTGCATTTGGGTCCATGAGACACAAATGAAATCATTGGAAAATCACTTTTTCCTATGATCTCAGGAAATACTCATGGTATTTTACTGGAAATGCCCATGGTATTTTACTCAGTCGAGATCTACTTAAGGACCTCTTCAACCAGGTTACATGTATGCTTTCCTAGTTGCTTGCTCTTTATTGTTATGATGATCAGTAAGGGATTTTTTCAGCCTTAACTAAGATTACTAAAAGAAGTCTATGTTGAAGATATGTGCTATAAGCTCAATATATATGCGGCATCACCTTTATTATAGTGTTAGAAACAGAAAGAGAAATCATTCTATTGCCTGAGAGGACGCTTCTTTTATGTGGGATTAGTAATGAAGCTTTGTTTATATGGAAGACTGTTAGACACAGATCTTGAATAGATTGTTAGCAGCACATACTGAATTTATGTAGTTCTTTATTCTTTAAGAAATAAATATTATTGTGTATATATAAGATATACAGCAATATTTATGTAATACATATGGATAGTGAAATAGTCACTATTATGAAGTAACTTAACATACATATCACCTTGCATAGCAACCCACCTTTTTGTTTTATTTTGCTGGTAATTTTAGATATTTTTTGATTTTGTCTTTTTAGGACAGTGGCAGGGGAAAGGTTAGACTATAACTAGGACTCCACCCATCAAAAAAGCCTGAAATGGTCTGTCTTGAGTAAGGCATTTTTCACTGGACAACAAGTGTTTCAAGCAGAAACGAGAAGCATGCAAGGGACTGGGTGTTAGGGGAAATGGAAGCAAAGTTGCTATAGGGCTTAACTTGATTTTCTTCAAATATTTTTGCTGTCTACTTCCACTGTGTCAACTTAAATGAATGAGTTATCATTTTAAAATACTGAACATAGTGATTCTGTGTGCATTGCATACCTGTAGGTGATGTAGCAATCTAGGAGGGCAGAGGATGGAGAACCAAAGGCTACATTATATAGAACCCAGAATGCTTGGAATATTTTATGCTTTATGCTAGAACAACCAATTGATTAGTGTAACTTAAAGTAGTTTATTTGATGATCAAGTTACATGGAAATATAGGCAGGCAAAAAAATTAAAAACTTTCCTTGATGAATTCATCATTTTGAAAATAATATGTTTCTATTATGAATTGGTAGAGTACACTTCAAGTTTTGATGAAAAATGATTTTTCTTCTTAATTCAAAGTAAAAGAATCCATAATATTCAGATTTAATCACAACATAGTAAGGGAGAAAAAACTAGATTCACAAATAAAACAAATGATTTTCACACAGATCACCACTACCTACCCAAAGTACTTTTAGTTCAAAGAAATGAGGGTGATAATCATTCAGATACAAAGGACTTAACCACTCTCTGACTGAGAATGTGAGGTAATTTTTTTCTTGTGGCAGATTTAGATTATCTCATAGGTTATTGGATTATAAATTTAAAGGTAAAAGGTATAAATTTATTTAAACTATGGTAATTAAAAAGAAAATAAGAAACATGACCAAATGGGAATGAATCCAAGGTACTCAAGCCTGTCAACACTGAAAATTCAATTAATGTTTTCATTATATCAAGAACCAAAAAAGAAAAATCACATGATCACTTCAATAGATTCAGGAAAAGTATTTTCGACAAAATCCAACACTCATTTATGATTAAAACTCAGTAAACTAGGAATAGAGGGAAATTTCCTCAACTTGATAAAGAATATTTCCTAAAGTGATTACCAAGGGATGAGTTAACTAGTTACATAGATGTTGTTAAAAGGATATAAAATTTAGTCAGAGAGGAGGAATATGCTCACATGGTCTATTTTATATATTTACTTATTTATTAATTTATTTACTTAGTTATTGTGGTGCTAGAGATTGAACCCAGGGCCTGTGCATGCTAAGCAAGTGCTTTACCACAGAGCTACATCACCAGCCCCTCCAGAGATCTACTGTATAATGCATAACATTACAGTTATAGTTCATAACAATGTATTGTATTCTTGGAAATTTCTAAGAGAGTAGATTTAGATTTTAAATATTTTCACCACAAAATTATATTTAAGGTAATGTAGAATGGTAATTAATTCCATCCACCCATTCCACAATGTATACTGACTTCAAAACATGATGTTCTAAATTATAAACATATACAATTTTTACTGGTCAACTTAAAATGTAAACAAATAAATTAGGAAAAAAGACCACCCATGAAAAACCTACAGCTAACATCATACTTAATGATAAGAAACTTGAAACTATCCTACTAAGATCAGCATCAAGACAGACTGGATCCTTTTCATCACTGACTTTTAACATCATCCTGTAAGTCCTGACTAAATCAATAAGACAAGAAAAGGGGAAAAGGGTATACTGATTGGAAAGAAAGAAATAACTATCTCTGTTTGCTGATGATATGATTGGCTATGTAGAAAATCTGAAAGAACCACAATCACAAAATGACAACAACAAAAAACAACCCTGGAATTAAAAGGGATTACAGTGGGGTTTCAGGACACAATGTTAATAGATCGTGATCCATTCTGAGTCAGTTGTTTACTTGTATGCCAGCAATGAACAAGTGGAATTTGAAATTGAAAAGCATAATAGCATCTGTATTAGCATCCCCAAATTGAAGTAGTAGTTTTAAATCTCTCAGAGTACATAGAAGTTCTACATAAAGAAAATTCTAAAACTCTGATGAAAAAAAATAAATGGAGAGATAATCAATGTTCATGGATGGAGAGACTTAAAAATATGCTTTCTTCCCAACTTGATCTATAGATTCAATGCAATCCCAATTAAAATCTCAGGAAGTTATTGTGTGGATATTTTCAAAGTGATACTGAAGTTTGTAAGGTAGAAGAAAAAGATTCCGAATATCCAACATAATAATAAAGGGGAACAAAGTTGGAGGATTGACACCACCTTATGTCAAGACTTTCTACAAAGCTGCAGTAATCAAGACAGTATGGTACTAGTGATAGACAAATAGACAAATGGATAGACAAATAGACAAATGGAATAGAATATAAAGCCCCAAAATGCACCCATGAAAATTTAATAAGGACAGTACAATGGAGAAGAGATAACCTTTTCAACAAATGGTGCTAGGGAAACTAGACATTTGTGTGCAAATATATAGATTCAGATACAGATACATATGTAGACATAGACATAGACAAAGGCAGACATTGACTGTTATGGTCTAAATGTGTCCCATAGAATTCATGTGTTGGAAACTTAATCCTCAGTGCAACCATCTGGGGATGTGAAACCTAATGGGAAATATTAGGTCATAAGGTTTTTTATCTTTATGAAGATAAAAGACCTAAGGTTGCTGTCTGGGCTGTTTTGGTCTTCCACCATGTGATGCCTTCTACCATGTGATAATGCAGCAAGAACATATTCACCAGGTAACAACACCTTCATCTTGAACTTCTTGGCTATGAAAAATAAATTTGTTTTCTTTAATAATTACTCATTCTCAAGCATTCTCTTATTGTAGCACAAAATGTACTAAGATACAGACTTTCTACCCTTTACAAAGGTTAACTTAGAAAGGATCATAGTCCTAAATGTAAACATAGAACAATAAAATTCCTGCAAGATAACGTAGCAGCAAATCTAGATGAACTTGGATTTAGTAATGACTTTAAATACAATACCAAAGGCACAATTCATGGGAGAACTAATAATGTTGGACTTCATTAAAAGTAAAAACTCATGGTCTGTCGGATACTGTTAAGAGAATAAAAAGACAAGCCAGAGGCTGGGAGAAAATATTTGCAAAAGATATATTTAATGAAGGACTATTATCCAAAACATACAAATATTTAAAACTCAACAATAAGAATATAAATAACTTGATTAAAACATGAGCCAAAGATTTTATCAGACATCTTGGAAAAGATCAACAACAAATAAGCATTTAAAAGATGCTCCCCATCATATACCTTCAAGAAATGCAAATTGAAACAACAATGAGATACCACTATATACCTGTTAGACTGAGGCAAATCCAAAACACTGAAAACATCAAATGCTGATGAAGTGGTGGAACCACAGGAACTTTTACTCATTGCTGGTGGGACACAAAATGGTGCAGCCATTTTGGAAGACAGTTTGACAGTTTCTTACAAAACTGAACCTACACTTGCCAAAGGATCCAGGAGTTAACACTCCTTGGAATTTATCTAAAAAGTTGAAAACTGAATTCCACACCAAACCCTGAACACAGATGTTTATAGCAATTTTATTCAAATTGCCAAATCTTGGACACAACCAAGTTTTCCCTCAGTAGGTGATTAGCTAAATAAATGTGGTATCTCAGGAAAATGAACATGATTTGAAGCTTAAAAGAGAAGAGCTTTCACCCTCTAAAAAGAAATGGAGGAAACATATACGCATATTAGTAGTGAAAGGAACTAATCTAACCAGACAATGTACTATATGATTCAAACTTTATAACATTTTGGAAAAGGCAAACCTACAGAGACAATAAAGAAATGAGTGTTTTCCAGGGGTTGGGAGCAGAGAAGGATGATAGGTGGAATACAGATGGGTTTTAGGGCAATGAAACAACTCTATATGATACTAAAATGGTAGATATGAGTCATCATACCTTTCTTTAAACCAAAAAAATTTAGGAAATTAGGAATGAATCACACACAAGATAAACTGTGATGATACTGATGATGTGATGATGTGTCAGTGCAAGTTCCCCAATTGGGTGATATTGATAATGGGGAAGGTTATATATGTGTGAAGGCAGAAAGTATGTGAGAAATCTTTGTAACTTCTGCAATTTTCCATGAACCTAAATCTGCTTTAAAAATATATATATATAATTCATTTTTATATTTAATTTTAAAACAGTACAGTTTTAAAAAATGGAAACAATATTTCTATAATTTTATGTGTTCAATTATAAGATGTTTACTGGTGAGATGACTTGAAACTTGAGTATTTTTTATTAGACATCCATGAAGTATAAATAAATCCTTTCCTGGGCATTTTCTTTTTATCTTTAGGTCAGATGTTGCCATTTTATATAATGATCGGTCTGTCCTCGAGAATCACCATGTGAGTGCTGCTTATCGACTTATGCAAGAGGAGGAAATGAATATCTTGATAAACTTATCTAAAGATGACTGGAGGTGAGTTTCAAAGGAAACCTAAAGGGAATTTAATTTCAGAAAAAGGATAAATTATGTGGTTTAAAGTGAAAAAAAAAAAAAAAACCTCTAAAAATCAATGCCTTCCTCATATTACAAACTCAGTTACTGTTGACTGGACGACTCTGAGAAGGATTTGTACCTGGAGGACTTTGTTCAGGAGTCAGGCTCTGTTTGATGGATCTGAAATATTTCCAGATCAATTCTTTATCCATACACATATGTAAGACTACACATCACACAATAAATACTTTAAGATGCATAATTGTGCACTTCAATGGAGCTCTGCTCAATTTGTGCTAATAGCTGGTCTTACATAAATTAAATATGTTAGCATCATATTCATTCTTTCTATATACATGATATAGTGACACTAGATTCCGCGCAGAGAAAAATAATAAATCCAACCCTACTACTCCACATAACCTTTCTATCTTTTTATCCTTTGGTTGTTATCTTCCCTTTGCTTGATTTTGGATTGTCAGATTTAGCCAATGAATTTTTAAAAGTTAAACAGAAATTTCAGATCAACATAAAATCTTTTTAATATATGTTCCTCATTTTATATTATGTTTATATATTTTTAAAAGCCCATGTTTATCCATAATAAAGATCTTATTAAAAGATAATAAATGGATGGCAGAAGGCTCCCACTCAAAGGTAAGTATCAAAGGATTTTGGTTTTTACTTTTGCTCTTACAACAAATTAAAGAAAAATGTAAAGAAAAAAAAAAGGTGTCATGCCTGCCATTAAGAATGGACTTTAAACAAAAGCAAAGCGGAAAAGTTAAATTTAGGGTTTCAAATGAGCCCTAGTCTCCTAAAGCTACATTTTCAAATTTCCAAAGCTTTCTGTATTTTCTAGGTCAATTCCAGAAACATGGGCTCCATTTGCAGTTGTAGAAAATTCCATAAGGTGGGAAAAGAGGAACAGTGTTTGGGTATCCCATTCAGGCTTTTCATTCTATTCTGTAAGAAACTAGCCTAAGAGGACTCCAGCCTAGGAAGGTCAGGATTTAACTGTACAAGAATTTTAAAGTGACTACAGCTGGGTTATGTGGAGAACAGCTGGGCAAAGAGAAGCAGGCAAACCAGTTTCCTAAGATCTGAGAGAGAGATTAATTACAGGTAGTGTGTTAGTTTTCCTCAGTGGTTTTCATTCTCAAAGGTAATATTGATAATAATTTTTATTCTTATTACCCCTTTGAGTTAATCTCCTTTCCCTCAAAGTTGACTCTTTTGTTCTTTCAGTGTGATTTTATTTTCTATATTTTGTTCTTTACCATCTTCAATAATTTATTCTGATAGTTTATTGTGATAATATCTGGTAAATTTCTTGTCAACAACTTCTCAGACTCATGCTAATTAAATGTTTTACAAAGTTATTGTTAGCAAATAGTATGTGTATCATATGGACTATAGAATTTAATAGATTAAATACTTTCCAAAAAACCCCAAGATTGATTTTTCTTCCATAACCTTGATAACATTTCCCTGAGAATTAAAATATGGATATCTTCTTAAAGACCTATAGATTTTTGCTCTAAATGTCTATTTATTTCTTAAGGTAATTTTAGTAAGGTACAATCACATTAATTTAAATTTGGGGCAAAAATTCATAAATTAAGAAATATTTCCCTGATGTATTCTTTTGCCTGGTTTATTGACATAATACTAGGCATTTACTGATCACTTATCTGCAAAGCACAATACATTATTAGGTTCTATACATTTCACAAAATTTTTTTAGTCTTATTTTTCTTAGTGAATATAAATATTTTGTTCAGTTGCTATTCTAATATGATCTTGTCACAAAATCAGAGAAAAAAAAATGTAACTGAGAATAGTTTTAGAATCTACCTTCAATAGCTTATTTTCCCTTCGTATTTCAGTATTCTAAGCAAGCTGTTCAATATTATAAATAATAGCAGAATATTTATTTCTACCTCTGAAAATCTGATTGAATGGAGTACCCACAATTTAAAACAAATCCAATATGTGGTTGCTTTTGAAAATACATCATCCAACAATAACATCTTTAGTTAAAATATCTCTGATGCAAGATCATAATTCAGATTTACTCCACACCTTGATTTAGCCTACTCTGCTGGCCACACCAAAGAGTGCAAACAAAATATGGTTTTCTGTATAAGTGACTTTTTACCTAACTCTACAGAGCAAACAAAGAATTGTGGATTATGCAAGACTTTGCGGGAGTGGCTCATTCCCCACTTACTGTGAGAATGAGTTTTTCATGAACAGGCTTTGTGATATGGTCACTGTATTGGTCACCATCTTGGCTGAACATTTCAATAGTGCCGACTGCTCTACATTATGGAAAATCAGGTCCCAAAATCTTAAACAGAATTTTGACTTACTTTCACATCTTGACCTCTTTGGAGTTCTTCTGATGGGAAGTTGGCACAGTAGTCAGGCAGTGGTCCAGGTGCCAGCTTTGGAGTGAGAACCAGGTTGCATCCTTTATCAGCCTAAACAAATGGCTCAGGCTCTTCCAATGGAAAATATTGACACTCCCTCAAATGTATGAGGATTAAATGTCTTAATCTACCTTCAAAGCAATTGCAACATGGACTGAATAAATATGGATAAATAATATTGCTTTTATTAATAGTAGTAATTTTAAAAAGATGCTAAACAAGGAAGCAACAGAGAGTGTCTTGAGAATCCATGCCCCTCTCTCCCCATCTCTTCCCTAACATATTGAACTATCAGTTTGGATTTAGAATGGTCTCAAGCCCCACTGAGCTACATGTTTTACTTCTAAAGCATTCAAAAATTATATTTAAATTAGTGTCTCATTAAAATAGCCAAAGGTTCTTTTGGATAGAAAAATAAGACTTTAGAAATTATAAGTTGTGAAGAAGACTGTGAGTTGAGAAGGAGAGGCATATCACACTATTATTCATACATCATTCTGCTACTAACTTCTTAAATCCCTGAGAATCAATGGGCAAAAATAATGTTGAACCTTTGTGAGCACTTTTATATTTAAAGAGCAGCAACTTTTGTGCTCATATCCACTAGGCAAATATATAAATAGTAATACTTATGGAAAGGTTCTATACAAGACCAATAAATGGCCAATTGAAACTATTATTCTTTTGATGCCTCTGCAGGGATCTTCGGAACTTAGTGATCGAAATGGTTTTATCCACCGACATGTCAGGTCACTTCCAGCAAATTAAAAATATAAGAAGCAGTTTGCAGCAGCCCGAAGGGTAGGTTATTTTCTTTTGTCACATTAAAGTACCATGAACTTGGACTCAGAAAAGATTAATGGTTGCTTTGTTCTGATAATTTGAGCATGTCCTTTCTTTGACAGAATTGACAGAGCCAAAACCATGTCCCTGATTCTCCATGCAGCAGACATCAGTCACCCAGCCAAATCCTGGAAGCTGCATTACAAGTGGACCATGGCCCTAATGGAGGAATTTTTCCTGCAGGTGCCTCTTTCATACTCTTTGCAAATAATTTTGGAAATAGTGACTGTGCATTTTTTTTTCATACACCTTCTCTACAGAATCCAGAGCTTGTGACTAAGTATCATCAATTGGCATAACACATTCTTGTGGATATTCAAAGAATTTATTAATCTTTTAGATAAGTATGCTAAATAATCCTGTGTAGTATAATACATCTTTTAAAGAGAGTCAAGTCTTAGATCTCAGGTGCCAGGCTTGGGAAGGAAAGAAACAAACAGATTATAATTGGAATCTGCTGTTAAGAGAGAAGTGCCAGGACAGAGAGCAAACAGCTTTCTTAATGGAAGGACAAAGGGAGGATATATACCACTTCTTTATACATCTTGTTGGCTAGAATTTAGTCATATGTGCCTAGCTGCAGCAGAGGCAGAGAAATACAGTTTTTAGCTGTGTGAACACATGCCTAACTAAAACAACAAAAAATATTATTATGTGAGAAGGCTGGAGATAGAGGATGGCTGGTATTCTCTGCTACAAGTATTTACATTTTACATTTACATGTCTCTTTTCTGTCCATCATTCCTGCATGCCCCCTTTAGCACATAAAATACAATGTGATGCTAACCACTCAAAGTCAACCTCAAATCCTACAAGTTAAAGGCTCAGTCTTCTACAAGACTGGTCTACTTCAGATGCTAGCCACAAGTGGGGCTGTAGGACACCAGCTCTTCTGACCAGCCAGTTCTAAGTTCAGTGTCTCTTGCAACCCATTTTATATTTGATAATTTGTTAGAGTAGCTCATGGACTGAAGAAAAGAGCTAATCTTAAAATTGCAGGATACAACTCAATAATAGTCAAATAAAGTAGTGTTTAGGGAAAGGTCTGGGAGTGTCCCAGTCATGGAGCATACATGTAGTCGACAGATGGATTAAATTGTGCCATCCTCTTGTCTTATCAGTGTGTTCACTTATCAGGAAGCTCCACTGAGTTTCAGTAACCAGAATATTAATCAGGGTTTCATTATATAGCATGATTGATTAAATCATTGTCCATGTGCCCCTTCCCCCACCAGAAGGTCAGACTGACCCAAAGTTCCAACTCCTTAATCATTTGCTTGCTCTCTTTGGTGATCAGCCCCCATCCTGAAGCTAAGGACAGGGCCCATCATGAGTTGTCTTCATGAACACAACAAAGAGTCACCTGTCATTCAGTAAACTCCATAGGTTTTTGAAGCTCTGTTCCAGAAACCAGAAATGAAGACCAGTTGTTATATTCTTTATGATACCATAGCTCTGTTTAGAAAAGCTCTTTTATTTCTGTATTTTCAAATTATTTTATTCTCAGCATAGTTCTTTACTTAGAATGTTTATTCATCGATTGAATATTTATTCTGAAGATATAAACACCGAATATATTGCTATACTTGAATGAATGTTTTCTGTCTCCCATTGTTGATAGCTATGTTTTATTTGAAATAGCACTGAATAGTCCTAGATAAAATTACTGAGTGACCACACCAAATTCAAATATTTTTATATTAAAAACAACTTGAGAAAAATATTTTAATATTTTATGCACATAAAAAATAGAATAAATGTTAAAATACACCACATCCTAAAAGGCAATTGCCTGCTATAGTCAATTAAAAATTATAATTTTTGTACACTCAACCAATCAGTAATCAGAAAATGGTAAATCTAAAGAGACCTTAGAGAGCTTAAAACTATCTCTCTTATATTAGAGATGAAAACATGAAGAGATAAAATGATTTTGGTCAGGTTGATAAGAAAATTTTAAATATTTAAAATTGAATGGTCATGAAAACAAAAAGGGAAAAGTTGTTGAATGAAACTAAAACAGTGAATAGAGGAAATTTTAAACCATTAAATGCTTTCTGTATTAGAAAAAAAGATACTTTGTGAAGCTAGAAAAACTTAAGAAAATTAAACCAAAATAAATTGATGGAAGGAGATAATAAATATAAAAGCAAAAATCAATAAAATAGACCAAAGAAAAATAATAATAACAAGAATTATAAAGGTAAGTGTTGATTTTTCTGAAGAAGTAATAAAATTAGTTGTAGTTTCAAAAAGAGAAAAAAATTATAAAGGAAGAGGGAATATTACTATATATCTTACATATGTCAAAAAGATAAGAAATATTATGCACAATCTATGCCAATAAAATTGACAACATAGATAAAATTGTCAAATTCTTTGAAAGATATAAATTACTAAAACAGACATAAGAAAAATTATAATCTGAATATTCATTTATCTATCTTTAAAAATTGAATTTATAATGTAACTCTTCCCATGAATAAAACCCCAGGCTCAGATGTCTTTAATTCTTAATTCTGATTTCCATTAGTAGTACTCAATTCAGGTAAAAAATGGTAAATTATCAAACATTTCAGGGAGAAATAAGGCCTGTCTTACACAATTTTTTTCATGACAGAGAAAAAAGGGAAAATTGGCAGCATAACCCCTAAGAAAACCTGAAAAAGATTTCAAATAAAGAAAATTACACCCCCAATCATGTCATGAAACTAGATAGAAAAGTCCTTAAAATATTAACAAATACAATTCAGCAACGTAGTAAGTGAGCACATATCATGACTTGAGTAAGTTGAATATTCAAAAATCAGTTAAAATGATTCACCATCTTAAAAGAAAAAAGGAAAAACAATTACATCATTCTTAAAGGCACAGGATGCCTTTGACAAAATTCAACAAACATTAATTATAAAAACTCCCAGCAAATAAGAAATAGGAAACCTTAATGTAACACTTCCTGGTGAGATATTGAACATTTTTATACTAAGATCAAGATATCTACTCCAAACACTTCTATTCAATATTGCATTTGAAGTTCTAGCTAGTGCGATAAGGTGCTAAAATAAAATAAATAGATTGGATTGAAAATAAGCAAAATTTGCAGAAACATGAGCATCTGCATGAAACACTTTAAGAAATTTACAAAAGCCCCTGGAATTAACAAATGAGTTTATCAGAATTGTAGGATCAGTTGTAGTAAATGAGAGTAGCAAGTTGAAAATGAAATTTAAAAAGCAATATTATGAGAGAATAAGATAATAAAATACTTGAGAATACATTTAATTAAATGCATGTAAAACCCCTATGAAGAAAACCACAAAATATTGTTGAGAGAAAAACTTTAAAGACCTATATAAATGGAGAGTGTTTCCACATTAATGGATTGAAAGTCTCAATATTGCTAAGATGTCAGTTCTTCCAGAATTGATTAATATATTTAGTATAATCCTTATTAAAAAATTGAAACAGGCTTCTTAGTAGAAACTGAAAAGTTGACCCTAAAATCTAGATGGAAATAACCAAAACAATTTTGAAAGAGACTAAGAAAGTTGGAGAACTCATGCTTCCTTATTACATAACTTAGTAAACAGCTACAGTGATCAAAACAGTGTATTATTGGCATAAGGATAGGGAAATACATCAATCAAATAGAAGAGTGATTCCAGAAGTAGAACCATACATATGTGATTTTCTACAAAGGCAGCAAAACAACTAGTGAGGAAAGGAAGTCTTTTCACAAATGGAAATGGAACAACAGTTATAAAAGTGTGGGATAGAAGGAAACTTGTCTTCTACCTACACCTTACACAAATAATAAATCAAGATGGACCATGTGTTAACACAGAACAGAACCCAGAACTATAAACTCTTGGAGAAAAATGCAGGAAAATATCTCTCGAATCTAGGGGGAAGGCCAATGATTTTAGAAAAGCCACACAAGGTATTATCCAAAGAGAAAAATGGTCAAGCAGACCAAAGCAGAATTTAATATTTCTGCTCTTCTAAAAATACCATTATGAAAAGATAGACCATAGAGAAAATATTTGAACTGTAAGCAGCTTTCCAGGAACTTGTGTTGAGTCTACATATAAACTCTAACAAATCAATAATAAAAAGGAAAATCATGGCAATTTGAACAGATACTTCATACAAGAAAATATACTTGTGGATAAAATGTACAGACAAGTATGCTTATTGTCTTTACTTATTGGGGAATTTCAAATGAAAACCACAATGAGATATTACATCTACACTGGAACAACTGGAGTTTTATTTTATGTTATCAATAATGTGGTAAAAATGGAAGTGTCACATATCACTGGTGGGAGTATAAATCATTGCAGTCACCATGGAAAACTATTGATTTGTAACATCTACTAAAGTTAGACTTAACATTGCTTATGTCCCAGCATTTCCACCCCTGTTGTGTATAATCCAGATGAATTAGCATCTTTGTTCACTTTTATTACAGAGGAGTAATAAAAGCAGTGTTATTTATAAAAGCCCAATGCTAGAAACAATCCAAATGTCCATCAGAAATACAAATGAATTAAATAAATTATAGTATAGCCATACAATGGATTATCATGCAACAATAAAAAAAAGACTAATGATAACAAACAGTAATAAACCTTAATATCATTTATGTGAAGTTCAAAAATGGCAGTTAACCTATGGTTATAGAAATCAGAATAGTGGGTATCTACATGGGGTAGGATTCCCTGGGAGAGGTTAAGGGAACTTTCTGAAGGTAATGGAAATGCTCTGTATCTTGATTGAGTGTTACACAGGGTGTTTATACAATTATACAATTCAGATTTGCACATAGAGTTTTTCTCAATTTAAAAAAGTCTATCATAATAAAAGTTCCTCATCAATTACTTAATTTTTTAAAGTCCTAAAAAAATTCCAATAATACCATGACTGCATCATCCTTTGTTTTACTGATTGCCAAACAAACAATACCTGACAGAGTAATCAGAGTAATGAATTCAATGAAATTGAGTTGAGATGTTTTTTAAGTTCACCACCCTGTTCTTGAATGTTACAGGTAACTAATAGCAATAATGAAGATTTCAGACAGCAGTGATTATTGACATCTGAATTTAGGGGTAGAGAGAATTGCTCCATAGGGCTATTCAGCTCCTATGTCATTCCCTGTGCATAGTACCCTGTGACTCAGA